CCCTCCAAACAAGTATATGTATTAACAGTAACTTAACACCTTCTCTATTATTACTAAAAAAGAAACCCTCTTTATCCCCTTTCTCATCCCTAAACAATATCTGAATTATAAAATATATTCAACTATTAATCTAATCAGCAAAAGGATTAAGAGTGCCAGTAATAATAAATTATATATTTTAAGCTTAAACAAATAGGTCAATTTTGCATTTTAGCTTCTAAGTTTTTTTGAGAAGTTGCACCTAAAGGATCTTTCTCCTTAAGCATACAAGAGACCAATAACAATCACATATGTGTTTTAAACTATACCAAAAAAATCACTTTTACAGGTATAAATCATAATCTTACAGTCCTGGTCAGAAAAAGAAAATTCAGTATTAACAATCCAAATCAAAATATGAACAATTTAACCTTGATCTGATAAATCCACTTTGAATTCCTTTCTCTTATTTTTGAAAAGCTCAATCTTCAGTCTCTTCTCCAAGAGGTAGAAACCACTGGACATGTTCTTCTTCGATGATCATTCTATAGAGACATTCGAACAAAATTTATTTACCCAATGATTAATAGGTATCCAGGCTGCTCTGATACTGACTATCTATAGTCACAGCACAGGTAGCTAGATTCTACGCAGCAGCATTAAAGATTCGTCAGAATCTGATGAATACCTTATTGTAAATAGTTTTATATAATCAACACACTTCAATTTTAGATATTATCATTTTATCATTAGCTCTGATACTGACTATCTATAGTCACAGCACAGGTAGCTAGATTCTACGCAGCAGCATTAAAGATTCGTCAGAATCTGATGAATACCTTATTGTAAATAGTTTTATATAATCAACACACTTCAATTTTAGATATTATCATTTTATCATTACTTTTACTATAGTTAACAATAATTGTAGGATATCATAATTTGAGTAATAATACACTACAGTATAGGCCACTTGACTTCATGTAAAAATGATAGTTAGGTGGCCAAATTATAATTATGATATAGATTTGTTATTATACCTAAGAATTTTAATTAGACATGTTTTATGCATTTTTAGTTGTACTGGTCTATGACTGTAATAAAATTGATTGATTGATTGATTGATTGTGTCTCTTCTCCAAATACCCCAGATCACAATCTCTTATCATTCTCTTCTTAAGGATTTTCAGAAAAAGTTTCAGAGTTTTGGTATTTCCCTTCTCTATGTCCAGAATAGGATAATTCTCAAAGTCACTCTTCCAGTCCATTACAGCTTCTTTCTCGATATCATTCTCATAATCAAGCAACTTTCAGTACATCTTCAGATCCACAACATCTTTTTCCATATCTTCCATGTCTCTCTTATAATCTGGCATTTCTTTAAGTCCGTTTTAGAATCCTTAAAAAATTTAAGGAGAATCCTTATTCAAGTCATCCTCTACTGCTATTATGTCCAGTAAGATCTTTTCTTCTTCTACAACCTCTGTTAGCCCCAATTTTACAAATAGTTCCTGGACACATTGATTCCAAACAGCTAAAAATTCTTTGAAAGAAGGATACTCTATTATGTTAAAGGAGATATATTGTTAGCCTCCATTCCTTCTGACCTTGAAG